GGTCTGTATCAAAACAATTTAATGCTGTATATGCATTTTATTCACTGGGTTTTAATATCCCTATTGTTGCTGATAAACAGTCATATCAATGTTTTACTGGAAAATTTGTGAATGCCAGTGAGAATGAATGCTTTCACAAACTGTCCTGAGCTTGATGTAAACATACTCTTCCCTATATGTGTTTGATCTCTGTGAAATGCAGAGATTTCTGAGACACTTCTAAGGCATGTGCCATTCAGAGTTAACATAACATGTGACAACTGGTCAGAAACAAAATGTAAGTTGAGTTGCTGATGACAAAGAATCACCGTTGCATTTTTTTGCAGCTTTTTTCCACTGCCAGGATTGTCTTTGTTTTGTGGCCTAGTACTGAACAAAAACTACTGTTGCAGATTATTACTTGATTCTGTAAAAGTGCATATTTGTAGCAGACACCACATTATAGCATTATTGATGGCCGGATAAACAAACCTTTGCTGGCAAAGATGATGTACATGTGGCATAGATGTGTTCTCTACCTAATGTCTATTCTAACATGTTACAAATATTTCAAGTGATGCCGATAGTAGGGCATAGGACAAACCTAATATATACATGTATCAAAATGCATAAATGGTTATCAAAGCATTACATTTACAAGCTGTTTCACAAGAGAAGGAGAGTGATTATGAGAGTGATGAATGTTGTGTTGGCATTATATTTATAATTCATTTATTTCCAATATTTATTTTCACTGTAACCTACAAATTATTGACAAACCATCAAAATTCATATTGCCAATCCAATGAAATTTATAAAATTTGGATATTGACTGTTTACCATTATACTAACTAAAGATGAAATATAATATGAGGTTATTACGAGAATACCTCAAATTATACATGAAGACAGTACAGCTGGATTATTGACGACTCACAGCAGAGGTCGATGTGCAGCGTACTGTCTGAGTGCATACATGTACTTTGAGGTATTCTCATAATAACCTTATTATTATACATCTTTTCCTTCCGAGGATACATCATGGGAATGCTGAAATCCAAAAAGTTTAGAACAGAATCAGGGAACTTCTTCATGTGGAGTCCGGTCAAACCCTGATAGCAGCCATGTTTGTTTTTATTATTAGAGGACGCTTACACACTTAATCATTGCATATTTGGAATTCGCATTTCGTTATATGGTTGGATAAAAATACCCCGTAAAATATCGCAAAATTATGGCATGCTGTAACTTATGGCATTACGGTGACAGATGTATAAGTGATATCAAGATCAATTGTCATTTACTGTAATCAAATGTACTGTATTGCTTATGGCATTAAGTTTTTGTCAAATGTAGAACCTCAAGGATTAAGTACTGGACAGTAAAGGCAACAACAATACACTGTACCAATGAATAAATTTCACACAATTCGGTTTTAATCATCATTTATCATGTCATTTTTGAGTTGTAAATTTTAGACCATGTGGATGTAATTTCTAATTGGCTGCACATTT